AAAAAAAAAAAAAAAAAAGGTTATAAAATGTGAAGTGATCTCATTTTTCAAGATTATATGATATACCAAACAGACATATGTACATGCAGATACATTTTATTTTTAGCAAATGGAGAACTGGAAGGGTAGATACTAAACTCCAAATAGCACTCCAAGAGAGTGATGGTGGTAAGGGGGAGAGATCATAGGGCAGATTCATGTACTGACTATAGGCAGTTTAGTTTTGAAATTTCAACAGGTTTCTTTTTTGAATTATAAAAGCAATTTTAAGATTTTTTTAAAAGAACAGTCTTTCACAATTAAGGTGAACCCATTAGAATTTCTTGAGAAAATAAATCTATATTATTTATTGTTCTTTTGAAGAGCAAAAGAATAGAAGAATACAACTAGGAAAAAATGTGTTTCTTTCTGACCTTTTTTTTTGTTTTCTTTTTGAGACAGGGTCTCACTATGTTGCCCAGGGCTGAAGTGTAGTGGCTGTTCGTAAGTGTGATCATGCTGGCTGTAGCCTCAAACTCCTGGCCTCCAGTGATACACTAGTAGCTGGGTCCACAGGGGTCTGCCATCAAGCCTAGCTCGGTCTTTCTCTTTTTTTTTTTTTAATTGATGGGATCTTTGTTTCCCAAGCTAGATTTGAACTCCTGGGCTCAAGTCATCCTCCTGCTTCAGCTTTCTGAGTAGCTTAGGACCATGAGGACACATCACTATCCCTCACTAATTTTCAGATTTTTTGGTAGAGATAGGGGTCTCACTGTGTTGTCCAGGCAGGTCTTGAACTCGTGGCCTTAAGGGAACCTCTCACCCTGGCTTCCCAAAGTGTTGGAATTACAGGTGTGAGCCACGTACCAAAAATTGTATTTTTAATTAAATGAAGGGAATAAAAGAAATAGAAAAATGCTTCTTTTAAAATTGGTTGAAGGTAGTTTGTATTTCAGACATTGGTGGGTCAGGATGAAACATTATCCAGTATTCACAGTCAAGTTAAAGACCAGGATAAGACTGGCAGGAGTTACCACAAGACGTAGTGAAACACTCTTGGCTCTATGTCCTTTCTCTTTCTGGGGTTTTTGGTCTTTGTGGTTTCTGCTTACTTTCTATCTATACTATGTCCTTTGATCTTCTCATCAGTCTTGGCTTTTTTTTTTTTTTTTTTTTAATAGTGCTATATAGCCATTATATATATAATTTTGTGCCCCAGTGAGGTAGAGCTTTCCTTATTATTAAAGGTTAAAGTATTAGTATACTAATAAATAAAGATCTCAGTCTAGACTTGCAGGGGTGTCCAATCTTTTGGCTTCCCTTGGCCACAGTGGAAGAAGAATTGTCTTGGACCACATATAAAATACACTAATACTAACCATAGCTCGAACGCTAAAGAAAAAAATCACACACAAAAAAATCTCATCATGTTTTAACAAAGTTTACGAATTTGTTGTGTTGGGCTGCATGCAGGCTGCAGGTTGGACAAGCTTGGTCTAGAGTTTTCCCAAGTAAGCAGGCCCAAATACTAGGTAGCAGTTTTTTTCATACACATCCATACACTGATGTGGTGAAGTTATGAGTTCAAATAGCAAATGTAAAATTCCTTCACGTTAGAATTAACTTAAAATGAAAGCAATTTAAAACATCTTTTAACTTAATTATTTGGCTACATGATTCATTCTCTTGCTTCAAACATTTAAAAGGAGAAAAAAAAAGGATACAGAAATTTCCCACCTTGTTCCCTTTGATTCCCTCAATATCAGTTGCCAATTCCTCATTTTCTCCTTACTCCCCAGGTAACTGATGTGATTAATTTATCAGTTATTACTCTGAGTAAATATGAATATATATTTTTGTCCCACCCCTCCCCCACAACCTTTTCTTTTTAACAGATGAGGTAACACACTCTACTGATTGTCATTTTGCTTATTTCACTTACGATAAGCAAAATAGTTTTACTTTTTAAATAATTATATACTATTCCTTTGAATGTTTATATCATAATTGAACAAGTCCCCCAGTGGACATTTAGATTATTTTCAAACTTATGTGCACATAAACTGTGTGTGTAGTGCATAATCTTATATTTAAATAATTTTCCATACGCACATACATTTGAAGGACAGATTCTGAGAACTGGTCAAAGAGCATACATGTATGTACATTTGCAATTTTGATAAATACTGCCAAAGTCTGTCCTGAGGGTTATACCCATTTACACACCCACTTGCAGTATATGAGAATATGTGTTATTCACACCCTGGCCAGCACAGTGGATTTACAAGACTCAGATCTTTCCCAGTCTAACCGGTTAAAAAATGCAGATTTAATTTGCTGGTAATTTCTGAGTAAGGCTGAGCATTTAAAAACATTTGTTTGTTTGTTTGTTTTGAGACAGAATTTTGCCCTTCTTGCCCAGGTTGGAGTGCAATGGCATGATCTCTGCTCACTGCAGCCTCTGCCTTCCAGGTTCAAGAGAGTCTCCTGTCTCAACTTCCCAAGTAGCTGGGATTACAGGCGCCTGCCACCACACAAACGAATGTTTGTGTTTTTAGTAGAGACAGGGTTTCACCATGTTGGCCAGGCTGGTCTCGAACTCATGACCTCGGGTGATCTTCCCAACTTGGCCTCCCACAGTACTGGGATTACAGGCGTGAGCCACCTCACCTGACCTAAAAACATATGTTTAAGAATCACTTTTACATTTCCTTTTCTGTAATTTTTTTTTGTTTATTCCTTTGCCCAATTTTTCTATTTGGTTATTGCCCTTTTCTTATTCTTAGCTAGGAGCGAGCTTAAAACTTTTAATAAACTTAATTAAAACTCAACTTCAACTTAAATATTTTGGCTGTACAAGATTTCGCTTTGCAGGAGATACCCTTTTGTTTTTTTGTTTTGTTTTGTTTTTTTGAGTCTGTTTCAAGGATCTAAGTTAAATTCTAAAAAGATAGTGAGTGAGATGCTAAGAAAATCAGTGTAGGAGCCTACCTGGTTTCCTTCACCTGACCCATACCTGGAAGTTTCCAGACAGAATTTCCAGTGCAACTGTACTTTTTTTTCTTGCTGGGTGCTGGTCTGCCCCCTTTTTCTTCTTTACATCTTTCTCAAAGATCTCTTTTAAAAAGGAGCAAAGTCACTTGTACTGGAAACCCCACAGAGGTCTTTTTAATGCATAATTTGCTGCTTTGACACACATGGAGGAGAAGAATCCCATTAGGCAGTGGGAGTAAGTAGGTGAGCTCTAAGGGCAAGTAGCAGTGTCACCTCAGGATGAGTTCACTAGGCTTCTCTTAGGCTACTTGAGGTTTTAAAATATTTTTGAAATACTTTAATATTTTCCCCCTTGGGCTATACAAGCCCTTAACTTTATATTGTTTCCATGAGAGAATAAGTTCTCAGGTACATCGTGGCTTTCAAAATGTTGTGATGAACTACTGTTTTATACAACAGCACCGATAAATCTCAAAGACTGATACTGAGTGAAAGAAGTCACACAGAGAAGAATATATTCAACTATAGTTCCATGTATATGAAGGATAGGAATAGAAAAAAAACTAATCTTAGATGATAGAAATCAGAATATTGGGTAACTTGAAGAGAGCAGTACTGGCAGGAAAGGGGCACAAGAGAGCCTTCTTGGGAATATTATGTTCTATATCCTGATCTGGTAGTTTGACAGTATATACTAAAAATACATCAGGCTTACACTTAAGCTTTATGTACTTTTCTGTATGTAAGGTATCACTTTAAAAATATTTTTTATATATAAAGAATGGGCCTACCTTTTTAAAATACTGTATTCTTCTGATTTTTTTTTTCTTTTTTTTTTGAGATAGAGTCTCACTCTGTCGCCCAGGCTGGAGCGCAGTGGCGGAATCTTGACTCACTGCAACCTCTGCTCCCGAGTTCAAGCGATTCTCCTGTCTCAGCCTCCTGAGTAGCTGGGATACAGACGTGCAACACCACACCCAGCTAATTTTAGTAATTTTATAGAGACAGGGTTTTGGCATGTTGGCCAGACTGGTCTCGAACTCCTGACCTCAGGTGATCCAACTGCCTCGGCCTCTCAAAGTGCTGGGATTACAGGCCTCAGCCACAGCGCCTGGCCCTTCTGATTTTCAAAGTAATATTTGATGTTGGGAAAAAACAGAATTATACTAAGAATAAAATTAAATCAACCATAATTTTACTACCTAAGGGTTGCTACTGTTAGTATTTTGTTGTATCTCCTTTGGAGTTTTTCTGTGTTTTTAGGGGAATTGGGAGGAGTCTTACTCTCTTGCTGTGTTGCGCAGGCTGGAGTGCAGTGGAGTGATCATAGCTCACTGCAGCCTTGAACTCCTGGGCTCAAGTGATCCTCTTGCTTCAGCCTCCTGAGTAGACTACAGGCTTGAGCCACTGTGTCCAGCTAATATTTTAAATGTTTTATACAGATGGGGGTCTCACTATCTTGCCCAAGGTGGTTTTAGGTCCTGGCCTCAAGGGATCCTCCCACCTTGGCCTCCGAAAAGTGCTGGGCTTACAGGCGTGACGCAGTGTGCCCAGCCATCTATATCCATTTTTAACATGAATTAGATCACTACATTTTCCTTCACTCCTTTTCACTTAATCAGTTGAGACTGCCTTTTTAAAACTATCCTACAGTAATAAAATTAGTCTAAAAAGGCAGATAACTAAACAGAAAAGGGCAGTTTTATTTCTGTGACATTACATATACCTAACATTGGTTTTATACAACCTGCTTCCCAATGCCTTTTAAGTACTAAACATATTCAGAGGTCAGGGCTAGAAGATAACAAAATCTATTTAAGAGTTAGAGCAGAGAAGATTTCAGAAGCTTTATAAAGGGATGCCAGGAAATGTCTACAGTATTTCACAGCTTGGAGGAAGCAGGCAAAATGATCAAAACAAGGCTTCCAGATCTTTACTTTGCGTGGAGGGGAACCTATCTCATGTGATTGTAATTGTATTTTGTTGTATAAATTGACATTTATGAGAATATTCCTGTTGAAACTTGATTTTATCCATAGCAGTGTTTTTTCATGAGTTATTTTCCTTGTGTGTTTGTTGCAGACCCCTGTAAAAGAGCCCAACAGTGAAAATGTAGATATCAGCAGTGGAGGAGGCGTGACAGGCTGGAAGAGCAAATGCTGCTGAGCATTCTCCTGTTCCATCAGTTGCCATCCACCACCCCGTTTTCTCTTCTTGCTGCAAAATAAACCACTCTGTCCATTTTTAACTCTAAACAGATATTTTTGTTTCTCATCTTAACTATCCAAGCCACCTATTTTATTTGTTCTTTCATCTGTGACTGCTTGCTGACTTTATCATAATTTTCTTCAAACAAAAAAATGTATAGAAAAATCATGTCTGTGACTTCATTTTTAAATGTACTTGCTCAGCTCAGCTGCATTTCAGTTGTATTATAGTCCAGTTCTTATCAACATTAAAACCTATAGCAATCATTTCAAATCTATTCTGCAAATTGTATAAGAATAAAGTTAGAATTAACAATTTTATTTTGTACAACAGTGGAATTTTCTGTCATGGATAATGTGCTTGAGTCCCTATAATCTATAGACATGTGATAGCAAAAGAAACAAAAGCCAGGAAAACACTCATTTTCGCCTTGAATATGTAAATGGGGTTAATTTTGTCCTGTGCCTTATGTGGAAAGGAACTTCTTTGGTTTTCCTTTTTTGTTCTGGTGGAAGCATGTGCAGGAGACATATCATCCAAACATAAACCATTAAAATGTTTGTGGTTTGCTTGGCTGTCATTTTCAAAGTAGTTAATTGAGGACAAAGGGTAATGCAGAAGTGATAGCTTTGGTTTGCTGAGTCTTGTTTTAAGTGGCCTTGATATTTAAAACTATTCCTGCCACCATTTCTTTTCCTTGGCCACTTTTTCCTTGCGTCTCCCTGCATGCTGCTTTATTTGCTTCTCCCTCCCCCACCACCTCATGGTATATTTAAGAGTGAAAGGGACAAACTAGTAGGTTTGTCAAGTTTAATATAAAGCACTGATGTAACTTGCTAGGTAAACGGAAAGATAAGTTCTAACTGCCTACTATCCAATGTCAGTTAATTGGTGTCTTCCCCCTCATTTGCTCTCTGCCCTAAAACGTGTCCCAGATGCCTTCACTGGCTGTTTTACTTCTATGTTCTGCTTTTCTTCCTCTCTTTGTTCCCTTCCTGTCTATCCATTGAGCTTATGAAATGGAAGAGTTAACTGCATGCACTAGTGTTTGGAGGGTGTTGTGGTTTGTCTTTCTAATTAGGTGTATAGCCTATTCACTTTCCTAGAATAAATCTCTTAACCTACATTTGAGTAGTCTCCATTTTGGCAACTCCTCTAGCAGCTTGGTAGCCTAGTACAGGTTGTTTTTTAAAAAAAGAAAAAGCAGGAAGGAGGAGTGAATTTTATTAACATGTTTGCCAAATGTATTGAGATTTGGCCTCTGAAGAACACTTTTTCAGTGTTAAGTTGTCTTTACCTTAAGATTCAGAAATACTTTAGAATATTATTAATTTTAAGTCCTGTCTTCACGTCCTTTTGGAAAACTTGTGTTACCATGGGTTTGGAAAAAGGACAACAAAAGGCTTTTCGTGTAAAGATAAGATCTCTAGCTGTCTCTAACCCTGTCCTTTTTTCACAGCATTTTTTCTAGTTTTGCTTCATTGCTTATCATTAGGATAGGGTAAGTTAAGTTTGCTATGCTGCTAGCATCCTAAGATGATACCTTTGTTGAAAGAATTGTGAATAGCATGATTCATTTCTAGCAGAGGCTGAGTTTAGGACAGCAGCTTCCATTGAGAAGTCTTTCTGTGTCGTGAATAGCATTTTAATGACCTCTTGGCTCACATAAGCAAACAACATAGGGACGTATCTGCTATGAAAATCCACAGATTTTTCAGATAGTGCCCTAAAAACAATTTTATATGCCTCACTGGTTGTTATTCTTAGGTTGTTTCCACACTTGACTTTATCATTGTTTACTACTAGTAAAAAGCAGCATTGCCAAATAATCCCTAATTTTCCACTAAAAATATAATGAAATGATGTTAAGCTTTTTGAAAAGTTTAGGTTAAACCTACTGTTGTTAGATTAATGTATTTGTTGCTTCCCTTTATCTGGAATGTGGCATTAGCTTTTTTATTTTAACCCTCTTTAATTCTTATTCAATTCCATGACTTAAGGTTTGAGAGCTAAACACTGGGATTTTTGGATAACAGACTGACAGTTTTGCATAATTATAATCGGCATTGTACATAGAAAGGATATGGCTACCTTTTGTTAAATCTGCACTTTCTAAATATCAAAAAAGGGAAATGAAGTATAAATCAATTTTTGTATAATCTGTTTGAAACATGAGTTTTATTTGCTTAATATTAGGGCTTTGCCCCTTTTCTGTAAGTCTCTTGGGATCCTGTGTAGAAGCTGTTCTCATTAAACACCAAACAGTTAAGTCCATCCTCTGGTACTAGCTACAAATTCGGTTTCATATTCTACTTAACAATTTAAATAAACTGAAATATTTCTAGATGGTCTGCTTCTGTTCATATAAAAACAAAACTTGATTTCCAGCTGTGTGGTTTGGTTTTCATTTGTTTATGGCATTAGAAGATTACTTCTGAAAAAAATGTGGACTAGCAAACTAAATATTAACGAGTTGACAGAAATGGGAAATCACTGTCAACCTGTGGAAAACTGGAAAGGCAATTTCAAAAACTGTCTTTGCTGAGAAACTACTTTAAAAAATAGAATTATCTCTGGGATCCTAAAGCGGATTCATCCTTGTGCCAAAATAGGAGATGCCACGATCCTAATCACACCTGGCTTACACTAGTTGGATGTGCCAGAGGCCCTACAGCTGAGGTCACCTGATTTCTCAGGGGGACCAAGCTGGGCTCCTCATGCTGGAGGGTAAATCCTTGTTTTAGCAGCAGCTGGCCTCTTACTAAGAAAATATTGGCCGGGCGCGGTGGCTCACGCCTGTAATCCCAGCACTTTGGGAGACCAAGGCAGGAGGATCACGAGGTCAGGAGATTGAGACCATCCTGGCTAACACGATGAAACCCGTCTCTACTAAAAATACAAAAAATTAGCCGGGCGTGGTGGTGGGCGCCTGTAGTCCCAGCTACTCGGGAGACTGAGGCAGGAGAATGGCATGAACCCAGGAGGAGGAGGTTGCAGTGAGGTGAGAGCGCACCAGGGCACTCCAGCCTGGGCGACAGAGTGAGACTCTGTCTCAGAAATAAAGGTATTGGCCAGGCATGGTGGTTCGTGCCTGTAATCCCAGCACTTTGGGAGGCTGAGGTGGGTGGATCACCTGAGGTCAGGAGTTCAAGACCAGCCTGGCCAACGTGGTGAAACCCCATCTCTACTAAAAAATACTAAAAGCTGGGCGTGGTGGCAGGTGCCTGTAATCCCAGCAAGTATTTCCTGCTTTTGTTAGCAACAGCCTTGTCTTTATGTGTAGGGAAAAGAAATGTTTGATCCTATATTAAGGCTTTATTAGTCAATAATAAAAATATTTGTTGACAAGATTGTTCCTGCTGAAAGTATATGTAGAGTTTTTCTCAGATTCAGTGATTTTAAGAATCACTTGAAGTGTTTTTAATGTTCTATTCCTTCCCCCCAACATACTTGTTTTGTTGGACCTACAATTCTCCCTTTGCTGGGCGTGGTGGCTCACACCTATAATCCCAGTGCTTTGGAAAGCCAAGGCAGGTGGATCACCTGAGGTCAGGAGTTTGAGACCAGCCTGGCCAACATGGTGAAACCCTGTCTCTACTAAAAGTACAAAAAATTAGCCGGGCGTGGTGGCACACGCCTGTAATCCCAGCTATTTGGGAGGCTGGGGAGGAGAATCGCTTGAACCCAGAAGGCAGAGGTTGCATTGCAGTAAGCCAACATCATGCCACAGCACTCCAGCTTGGGCAACAAAACAAGACTGTCTCAAAAAAAAAAAACCAAGATTGGTGTAGGGAAATAGGATATGGTCTCCCCCCTTAAATGGATGGTCTAGTTTAGAAAACAAAAGTAATTCATCAAGTTAAGCATATACAAGAGCCAAATAATTATAATCTGGATTTTAATTGCTGTACTAATACATCAAGTTCAGTTGGTGGGAATAGTTGGGATTGCTTTTTGAGGGAGGAGAGACATTAATTGGTACTTAGAAATGTCGATTCACTGGTTAGGGCAAATGTAGGAAGGTCATTGTAAGAAGAGACCACAGAGACTAGACAATGACAGGCCCTGGGGAGTCATGGTAAACTCTTGAGAGTGGTGAGAGCAGTGTGTTCGTGGAAAGCAAGTTTAGATGGATTTGAATAGGAGAAACAAGGGTTCTAGAGGTCACATGGGAAGTCGTGTTAATCGAGATGTCAGTAAGACCTGGCTAAAATGGCAGAGGGAAATGCAGGGTTGAAGGCAAAGGTAGTGTGTGAAGCGGGGAGGATATTTCTGGTGAGCGTGCTAGGTGCTTTTTTGGCACTGCTCTAGGTACTTTAGGTTAGGTCTTCGATGTCCTGGTGAATTAGTACCCAAGAAGAAATGGTCTCAGATTAAGTCACTTGCTTAAGTTTGCACAATCAGTTGGTGCTGGAGTTGGATTTTGAAACCAGGCCAACACCACTGTCCCTCCTGTGTTCACCTTTTCACAGTTCTCAGGAGGGCCTGGGGTAATGAACAAGTGCCAGAGACAGCAGAAAGAGTCTGGAGTGGTTGTGTGACCATTTGACCCAACCTTGGCCCCTTCTAACAAAGAGTAACACCCTCGAAGTATACTTCATGTACTACTGTTTTTGCTTTATATCACCCCTCACCATCTCGCGCAGAAGCAAGCAAAAGGAAGCAATGGGGCATCTGATTGGTCTGGGAGCTCCAGATAGCCAGCAGGTACTTGAAGGCTGCAAGCCAGCTTGAGAGCAGTGGCTGGAACTGGAAGGGGTGTGCACACTACCAATAGCAAGTGAGCAAGAGGGACCCACAAGAAACTGAAGGTTATTACAGTGCTACAGTTGGCTCTAAGAAATTCCCTTGTCCCACTCTAAGAAACTAGGGCCTTTTTTTTTTTTTTTTTTTTTAACTTTTAAAGGAAACAATTCATTTGCTAGAAAAACCTAAAAAAAAAAAAAAAAAGATTATATACAAAATGGTTATCTGAATGTGGATTCTGTACTGCAGCAAAAGCAGCCCAGCTCTGGAACTCTATTCAGCTTCCTCAGTTATCAGGTACATCATGCCACTGATGATGGTGAAGGCAAAGGCCACCCACGGCAGGATGTAGGAGTAGCCATAGCTGCCTTCTTTGGTCAGGCAATAGAATTCCGTGTTTTTATCGCGCCCGTGTGTATAAATGGAGGCTGCAATCATGAGGCACAGATACGACATTAGCTGGGTGATGAAAGTTAGGACAAACTTCTCTCCCTGCTCAGGTGGAAGATGAAGAAGGCGATGCAGCAGAGAACGGTGGAGGATCATGGTGGCCTGGATCACCTGTAGCGTGGAGTACTCTTTTTTTTTTTTTTTTTTTGAGATGAGTTTCACTCTTGTTGCCCCAGGCTGGAGTGCAATGGCGCGATCTTGGCTCAGGCAACCTCTGCTTCTCAGGTTCAAACGATTCTCCTGCCTCAGCCTCCCGAGTAACTGGGATTACAGGCGTGTGCCCCTACGCCCAGCTAATTTTGTATTTTTAGTAGAGACGGGGTTTCTCCATATTGGTGAGGCTGGTCTCAAACTCCCGACCTCAGGTAAAGCCCGCCTTGGCCTCCCAAAGTGCTGGGATTACAAGGCATGAGCCACCGCGCCCGGCCGCGGAGTGGGGTACTCTTTTTTAAAATTTTTTCTTTTTTTGAGACGGTGTTTCGCTCTGTCGCCAGGCTGGAGTGCTGTGGCGCGGTCTCGGCTCAATGCAACCTCCG